TGTATTTTTCAATTTTTCTAGTTTTTTACGGAGATATAGACCCCCCTACCCCCCGAGAAGTGAGGAGGTTGGGGGGGGGGGGGCTGTCTGTAAGTCTCGTTATGGTGTCAGCTTTCTTTCCAGTATCTATATTGTGTTTTGTAACTTTAAGAGCTGGTGACTGAATTTGCTTTTTCCCTTGTTCTCTCACCATACTTTTTCCTTCTGTATTATAACTTTTAGAGTGTAAACTATAGACTGCCTTGTTTGCTTCTACATAAACCTTTCTTCAGGTTTGTTGAGCTGAAGAGCAAACTAAAAATGCCCTTTGATTCAATCATGATTAAATGTGGAGCATTATGTATGCTGCCTCTTCCAAAATAAGAGTGGGACTTAAACCTAATAAATAGACAAATACATTTATGTCCCAAGGCTTTGTAATGCAGCATTGTCTCTCTTTCAGAAGCACACAATATTAATGGATTTCCCTTTCTTATTTCCATCCATAGTAAAATTCAGATCTGTTGCTCCTTTGCTGGCTAACTCATCTGGTCAAAGAGTTAAGACATGTTCTAGTGCCCGTTCATGAACCATCTTCTAGTCCTTAAATGCTTCGAAATGGCATTTCTAGCATGTGTAGAAACATTAGCTGGTCATTTCTGCCTGTTAACAAAGAAGCATCTTTTTAGAAAAGGAACTATTTATGCTTCACCAGCATTTCTGTCATAGTAACAGTGGGGCTTTGATCACATAACAAACAGTGATGACGTGGCTTTGATCACGTGGTCGTGATGACCATTTTGACTTTCTTTTTACTCTGATCCCTCCCATGTAAACACTTCTGGTTCTCCTCAAACGTTAGAGTTTTCTATTTCTAAAATTAAGAGGGAATGAATTTTAACAGCATAACAAGAAACAAAATAATTGTTGTGGTTTTCAGAAGCTGGCGAACAAAAGAATCTATTTAGTAGACTCAGACCACAGAAATACAGATACTGTTTTCTGTAATTTGGTTTCAGCTATGAAAGTTATGGTTGCTCAGTATTGTTTTAAATTGAAAGTAGTAGAGAAAATAAAGCATGTTTCTCTCCGTATTATCAAGTTATATCAGAGTTATAAAAATGAATTAAATTAAGATTAGAATGAAGTAGTTTTGTTGAATTTATAAATAACTCTAACCTTTTTCCTTTTCTACCACAAGGTAGCATCATCATCTTTTACTGTCATCCTGGGTTTGTTATAAATGGTCAGTATAACTTGTGATTGTTGAATGCCAGGCCTTTGTAACAGCTTTATCTAAACAACTGTAGTTAAATCAGGCTCCTCCTTTATGTTTTCCAGATATGCTTATCTCTGTGGTTTGTCTTAAATAGGTCTGTGATGTCTTTAATATTCACTTCCTCTTGATGCTGCATGTAGCCTCTGGGAACATAAAAAAGATAAATTTGCCATCAGCTAAACCTAGTTCTAAACACTGGCATCATAAACCAATGGAACAGACAACCTTGTCTTCTGGAGTAGTATGCTCATCTATGGCTTCCTCTTCATACTGATTACCCTGAGAACTAAGACAATACTGTATATCTCATAGACTTCTGACCAGAGAAACTGGACATGGGACCACAGTGTGGTTTTTCTTCATGCCAACCTTGTGCATAATATAAGGAATATAAGTTGTTGTGCAGAGGAAAATAGTTGTGGTCCAAGCTTACTTATCTGTGCATTAAATCTTTAAGTGAAGTCTCCTTTGAGCTGGAGTCAACTCTGGTGACTTCATGGACACTTCCATGCAGTTTTCTTGGTGATTAAATTTGTAATGGGGAATGGTGTATGTCTTAGTCAATAGTAAGCAAATGTCAAGAGTCTGCTCTTGGTCTACTTCAACCCAAACTCATCTCTCTCCAGAACGTTGGCCCCTCTCAGGATGAGCCCATTTTTGATAGATTCTGTGATAGGGCTACCACATCTAAGCTGCAAAGAGGTGAATATGTACCTCTTTGTTGACATCTAGTGGCCTTTCTGTTTTTGAACACCCAGATATGATAATCTGATTCTGGAGAAAAGGAAGTCCATGAAATGAGAGTAATTTGTCCCCTCCCAGTGGCAGCTGCTTTAGAGTTATAGAAAAATTGTGGGGAAAGGATAATATGATAGATAACCAGCCACTTAGGAATGCATGCTAAATATGCTGATAGTGTTTTCAGTCTATTTTAAGAAGCCATTTTTATTGGTTTCTCTCTTTACAATAGTTTGACTTTTTTTCTTTTTCTTATTAGTCACTCCTAGCACTAGGCTTTGCAAATGGCTTGGAATTAAAAGGCAATTAAGGCAATTAGTTCTAACTCAGAGGAATACAAATGTTGGGAATGTTGTTTGTGGCACTTGCCAAGCTTGGTTACATTGGAATTGGGATGCGGGCTGTATGCCCAGTAAAAGGCAAGGTCCGTTTGGTTGGCATTGCGCATTTGGAAATTATGTGCAGGCACAAGAGACAGAGGGAAAAGAGGTGGAAGTATTTAGTGGCAATGATGCATCTCCAATTTAGTGAGCATCTGTTCTTCCAACCCAGTTGGCTGATGATGTTGTTATCGCTTTCTTCAAGGTAAAGGCAGTCACAAAATGGATTACAGCTTGGTCACAAAATGTCATTGAAATCAGAAACATGCCATAAAGTAATGCATGCGTGAGTGTACATTTAAATGCAGCTAACCCAACTCTGTGCTAAAATTACCTCTTTGCACTTTATGGCGGAGGAAATGAATTTTGAGGGCAAGGTGGGGAAATCTGGGCCATATCTTTTTTCCTCTTACCAATATTGGGTAACACCTCTCCCATGAATGTGCATTCTTGTTTTTATCACTCTCAGTATACTTGCTGGAATTTAAAGAAACAGAACCAGCCACATGTGCAAACAACAACTAACAACCATAAAGACATGCTAAACCATATTTAGTGGCCATCCTGACTCTAACCTGTTGATGACTGCTGTCCATGTTCCTTGTGCCCATGTAATTAGCATTAATACAAAAGAACTGTACAGGTATATGGTTCTTAATTTACTGTAAAGTTGATTACAGTTCCATTGCAGAGTATAAATGCTTCAAATACAAACTGGACTGTTAAGGTCCCAGGTTTACAAGTACAGTGTAACCAATGGTATGGCTTTAATTTCTGTTGCCTTTGACTGAGACAAATGACTGACCAAGAGTTTCTCTGGGTGAGGAAGAGGCCTGCATGTGGCTGTGGATGACAGAGGAGGTAACCAAGAGGTATGTTAGCATTAGATCAGGGCAATCAGGCAAAGTCCAGGTGTTCAGTGAACACAGGAAGGATATATGTATCTAGGTTCATCTCTAGAACATTTGGTGATTTAGGTGTGATCAAATTTGATTTGGTTTATAGCTTATAATTTTGTATGAATCTAGACACTGTGATTTATAATCCATGGTTATGGCTTAGTGTTTTAACCTTTTGTGGGGAGGAAATTATGATGAAACAATCCAGGAATGCATGAAGGAAGGAAGGAGCACGTATCTTACTTTTAATAAACTGAAACGTGTACATCTGAACTGGTCACAGGCTTCAGCTTCACTATGGCTTTTCAGCAGAACCTTTTTCTTAGTGTCGAGGTTTGGTGCTAAAAAAAATGGAACTGTTAATAAGCAGGAGTATCTCTGAGCATCTGTAGTGTGGATTTCTTCTGCTTTGTTGTTCAGTGGTAATATTAAGCCATTATATGTTTTATTTGCTATGCATAATTCATAGGCCCAGTGGCACAGCTTTGTGTGCAAATTCAGCCAGTGAGTCTCTGTACAGGATAGTATTTGGATAGCTCTGATATTATCCAGCTTTTTCTATGCTTGATGTCCTCCAGGTATGTGGCCTTTATATCCAAGAATTCCCTGGGCAGCATAGCTATTGCTGAGCATTCTGAAAGTTGAAATTTGGAGGGCACTTAGACCATTGTAGACACTTAACCCAAGGCAGTCATCTATTACAATTATTTGATAATTCTCAGAGGAGATACTCCCAGTAATGTTGGTAAGCTGTTCTTTTGTAGCTTAGCCATAAAGGGATTTGAATGTTACAAGTCTCTTCGTCTCTCCTTGTCGATCCAGTCAAGAATATCAAAGCTATTGTAATATTTGAGATGATCCAAGGAAAGAGTAGAAGAATCTGAGTTATTGCATTACAGGTAGTCCCCAGGTTAAGAATGCCTGGTTTACAGACGACCCATAGTTAAGTACGGAGCCTATTGTAGCAAAGGTTGAGCCAAATACACAGTGATTTGAATTAAATACACAATAGGTTGAGTTAATTATACAATCCTACTTATAC